ACTGAGTCACACATTTTTTTCTATAAATAAAAAAACTTATCAATTGAGAAAAAATTGCAACTATTCGCTATTATATAGTACCTAAATATAATATTATATTATGTCTATAATAAATAAAAGTATAAAACGATAAAATATAATTAATTGAAAACATGTTATTATTGATTTATGATCCAAAATACAAATAAATATTAAACAATAAACCAGACTAGTCATTTTGCTGTACAGTAGAATCAAGTGTACTGCGTCATTGAATATGTCATAATATTATTATATTGTAGGTAAAACTAATGCTAACGCAGTCCCATCCCCAGTTGCAACAACAAAAGGAAAAATAAAAGTCATATTTTGTAAATTGAATAAATGTTTTAAATTTTAATTCAGCGATAAATCATAAATACAAAAAACAATTTGATCGAAGAGCTACTCTAAATTCATCATATTTGTAAGGATATTTTATTAAGAGGACATTTGCTGTCTCCGTCTTACAAGTTCGTAACTAGCAAATTAAGCTCAGCAGATCACGTGTAGTTTCGTTAGCTTCAAAATTAGAGCGCATCGAGGTATTATGAAACTTAGTGGTAAGAACATTATCTGTGTTGGCTTGAGGGTTTTTTACGATACTTCATAACTCACTTAAAACTTGAAGTATCGTAAAAAATACGACTTCGCGATACATGATAATCTGCTGAGAGTACATTTAGTATGTTACGTTCTTGTAAGACAGAGACAAAAAATGCCAGTGTTATGTCCTCTTAAGTATTTACAATATTATTTTAACTTTTTCTGGGAAATTATACCTAACATATTTTTTAATATGGTTTTTTCAACTTTTCGTATTAAAACTCTCATGCTTAAGTTAAAATGCTTTTATACGTTTTTTTTTGTTTTTCTTTGAGTAATTTTTCCTAACCATTAGGAAAACTCACAAATCTCTATACAGACATTTTGAAGAAATGTGTTAAGAATAATTTTTTGAATACTTTTTTCATGTATGTAAAATAATAATATTACATCACTCTTAAACCGAACGAAAATGAATGATTGTATTGTATAATCCTGTTTTTTTTAATTTTAATATTTCTAAGCTTATGATTAACATTATATCATTTAAACAATTAAAGGACAGGATATGCATAAATAAATAACAGTATAGTTCCACTAATACCCAAATCAGTATTCTATATTATTTTAACCTTATTAGTTATTAGTTATTAGTTATTTAAAAATAAATTGACTATTGAGTATAAAAACAAGTATCAAAATTTAACATTTCAAAAAAAAAACAAATTTTATTGGACAGTCGTCAATATTAAAATATTTAATAGTAAAATTGTAATTCCATAAAAATAGTAAAAATAAACTTACTATCTTTATAATTGTTGTGTTATTTTATGACTATAAAAAAAAGCCTCAACCTAATTATTCAATGTCAAATTAATTTCATAGTTAATTATCAAGATTTTAATTAATTATGAATAGCTTAAAACAAAGAAAAAAACTGACTATACATCGGATCTATATACAAATATTTTAATATGTATATTTTTTACCTTTTAGTAATAATAACCACAGTCTACCACTTAGTCACAATATATTATATAACTGTATTTGATATGATTTTTAGATACAAATATTTTTAAGCTAAGCTTTAACAGTATCTATTGATTTTACAATGTATTTTTTATTTTTTTTTGTTTGTCTGAACTCTGGAGACACTTTTCAGTAAATAAAATATCTCGATTTTCAACTTAGATTTCATAATACCTATACCCAGTTCCCATTACCCAAACATGACGAAATGTTCATATTAGTATTTTTTATTCATCGTTTTTTTTTAATCCTTTTGAGCCATTATTTATTTGCATGTAAAATGTTCAATTTTGTTACAAGAATTTTAAGTTAAACATTTTGATAAAATGTTGCAGATTATTCTCAAGTAAAAATATATGAAATGTTCAATATTATAACTAAAGCTTGAAAATCGAAAAAAACATTCTACATGAGAACCTAGTAACGAGTTCAAACTGTAGCCAACACATCCAAAAATAATATTTAACCACAATTTTTTTTTATAGATATTTTAAGTTAAAATGTTAACAAAATTAAGTAGGTATTTAAACGAAAAATAACTATTTTAGTTGTATTAGTGATGTATTATGCTGGTTGCTGACATACCATATTTTACTCTTAGGTGTATATATACAGTCGTATTAATTATTCTAATTGTAATATTATTAAATAATAAAAACTTTAAATTTATTTAAGTTCTTACTCTGGTATATTTTTTTACTTTTTTATTCTTCAAATCAATTATATTTATTTTGCATTCAAATTATTCCCTACGTAATTTGCATCTTTAATATTGCATTCTATTAATTGGAATCAAAGTTATAAAGAATGCATATTGTTACTTACTTTGTTCCCTAGAATTGTTTCTCTTTAAAATTATACACAGTTATAACTTCATTAAACAGGTTCCTGGTTCAGGTGTTGGAATTAAAGTAGTGTGAGTAATACAGTAGTGGTACTTATTATGATCCATGAAACTCACTTTTAGATTAAACAAAAAAATTGGTTATAAACCTGATTTTTAATAATTTCTATTTTAATGTGTGTACCTATGTATGATGAGTAATGATAATTGTAGTATATTTGTAACTATTGATATACTTGTGTAAAATATTAATTTTAGCTACCAATACATTTTATTATTTAATATTAAAATTTAAAAACCATAATAATAATAATAGTGCCACTAATTAAATGTATATCTACTCTTTTAGAGGATGCGACACCAGCATAATAATTTTAACTTCGTCTTACAAAATTACAACATTGAAAATGTTAAGTTCACCATAATCCATTGTATGTTGTAAATATTAGAGTGGATCTATTTTTACCGTAAAAATTGAATGGTAAGATTATCTAAGGCACCTTCGATGATTTTATTGATATTTTAATTTTGAAGTAAGTTATGATCATTTTAATATTTACAAAAAATGTTCAGTTTTAAAAGTCTCAACTTGCTTTATAAATAAAATATCAATAGGAGCATCCGAGATGTGAAAGTAAAATTTGATTTGTTGTATGATTAAAACAGAGACAACACATGCGGAACGCGGGTATTTGTCAAAGTCGATATATTTTTATTTCTTTAACGAATTTCTATTCAATACTCATAAATTGCATTTAACCAAAAAGATACCTAATTAAATTATTAATTCCATGCATTGTACACATTAAAAAAACACACACACACACTCATAAATATATTAATTATAATAAAATACAATAAATAATTAAATATTTATATTGATATTTGGTAGCTATAATGCTATACATTTAAAAATAAAAAATAAATTTATTTTATTTTAAATAATATACTATTGTTACAAAAGTTCAATAATTTCAGTAGATTATGATATAATATAGATAATAACTATAAAAGATAAAAAGTAACATATTATATACCTAAGATATAACACACATCTGTATGCACAAATACTATAGTATTAACTATGTGAGAATAGTATATATAAAAAAATACTATTGGCAATATTGGAAACACTTTTTTCTGATTTTAATGCCCCTACGTTTAAATATCTTAGTTGTTTAGTTGTTAAAATAGGTGTTATTATATGAAATATACAAAAATCATATGAAATTATTTAAATCAATACATGCACAATCATTATTATATTACTTAATATTGTATAATGACTGGTGCTATAAAAATTAAAAGTCCATTGGCATTTAAAAAATTTAAGCCCCTTTATTTATATCTGTTTTATTTGATTTTTTCAAAAATGCGACAAACACATTTAGACATTTTTTATTCATTTTATGAATATAGTTTTTTTATAATATTATATTTTATATTAGAATTAATATTAGACATAGATAAGTGTACAATATTCTGTATCAGTGGAAACTCATATAACAATTATTTGAAGAAAAAAAATTATTTTAATATAATGAGTAATAGCTGCTTCTCTTTTGGATCTAAGCATACAACTAACTACTAATTATAATAATTTACAAGTCGATAATAAATTTACATTTTAATGATTAGTTTCATTGCAAATTATACTTGTGCTTGAATAGGCATATCCAAGGGATTATAGTAACTGAGATTATTGTTATAGTAACTATATGAATATCTGAAATTGCATATTAGATTTATACTTTTGAGGGTATTTTGTTCATAGTAATTCGATGATAAACAAAGTCATGATATTGTATTCAAATTAATCGATTTTATTCCATGTAAACCACACCGATTAAAAACTGTTGTCAAATTACAAATACTTAATTTTCGTAATTATCGGTACTGTACTAATGTTTTTACATTGAACTTTCATTTTATAATATATGTATTATACATATAAGATCTAACTTACCGACTTATGAGTTATGAGTATATCTACTGTATATACGTAATTTAAACAAAAAGATAAGAACAATGTTTTTCTGTACATTCAACTAGTAACTACATTGCACATAATGCAGTAGTGGTTTGGTGATGTGTATACTACATAGTGTTTTAGTTCATGTTTATGCCAAGGTCTTTTTTGTGTTGAATATCTAGGCGAAATCAAAAATAGTAACTCATAGCTTTGTGTTGCAATGGAGAAAAGGCTAACAAGCTGGCCCAATTTTTCCCTGTATTCTGACCAATCAGAATTTATTAACACGTAATGGATATACTAAGGTAGGCTTTGTTATTTAACGTCATTTGAGCATGAACGTTGACCCGAGCGGATGTCCCACAAGGACTGTATACAATTATGTATTATTTTTATTACTTGCATTAATTTCAGACAAACACATGGAAATTATTTTTTAATAAAACATTTTATTCAAACTGTATTGTACAATTAACATTTTTTTTCAAGTATAAAAAGTATAATCTAAGTATAAAAACATAATAATATTAAATTATAAAATAGTAACTTAACAAATTCTGACTTGAGAGTTTAGCCATATCAGAAGATTAGTCTCTTAATTGTTTGGACTTATTTTACGTTTTACGATTGGAGTCCATCCACCGCTCTCGTATTTTGAGTGGCTTTCTTGTCCGTACGAGGAGGATAGATCTGAACCGTAAGATCCATATGAAGAAGAAGACTGAGCTGGTCCATAAGACCCATACGAGGAAGATGACAGTGCTGGTCCATAAGAACCATATGAAGATGCGGACAGTGCTGCAGGTGCGTAAGATCCGTACGACGACAAACCTGCTCCGTATGAAGAGCCACCGGATCCGTACGAAGACAGAGATCCTAGAGAAGCAGATCCGTAGCTGGCGCCGTAAGCGGAAGCTCCTAGACCGTATCCTCCGTATGCAGGTGCTGGGGCAGCAACAACGATTGGCTGAGGTGCTTGGACAACGACAGGTGTAGCAACCGGTACAGGAACGCGCCTGACAACTGGAACTGGTACTGGACGGGAAACTGGTACAGGTACGTTCTGAACGACTGGGACTGGGTAGGGAGCTGGCACTGCTTGTGGCACTGGTCTGTCTACTGGGTATGGAATAGGCCTTTCGACTGGTACTGGGTATGGTGCGGCAACTCGGACTGGATATGGACGTTCTACTGGGTAAGGGACGGGATGTGGCACTGGGATGGCGACGGTTCTCTGCACTGGCACTGGGTACGGGGCAGAAACTGGTTGGGCATGACGGTTGATGATGTGAATATCCTTGGAGATGTGGATCAATGGGCCGACGGTCGGTGCTGGGCCAGCGGAATATGCGGACGGAGCAGCGACGATGGCGGATCCGCTGTATGCAGGTGCGGCTGCGACTGCGACTCCACTGTATGCGGGTGCGGCTGCGACTGCGACTCCACTGTATGCGGGTGCGGCTGCCACGGCGACACCGCTGTAAGCCGGAGCGTATGAGGATCCATAAGCTGATCCACCGTAAGCTGAGTAACCAGAAGCCAATCCGGACGATAAGCCAATGCTGGAGCCAAGTCCCAGACCGGAACCGTAGCTCAGACTGGAACTATGACCCAACCCGCTGTCAAAACCATGTTCAGCGACGATACCGCGTTTCTCCGGTTTATGCGTCTTGCTGTCTGTGCTTTCGGCCCTGGCGAGGGCTACTGCCACCAAAACGACGACTAAAGCTGATGTCTGCAAAAAAACAAAATAAAAAATAGCTTTTAGTCCCGTGTTACAATTGTGAACCACTGCTGTGGCACTCGTCTGTCGACGTCATTCCGACCGAGAGACGACTCCACATTGTATACACATATTGTATACTTGTGAGATGAGCTGATCGTGTATCATAACATATGGCAGTAAATATAGGCATTAAATACAAATGTGTGATTACAAGTAAATATGGTACTGATTGTTTTTTGTTATCCAAATACTTACGAATTTCATGTTGACTGTTCTACGTTGCTCGGTTGAATGATAATGTTTTGAAAACCAAATTGGCTATATATAGGTAAAGTCAACGATGGTGCTAGTGCAGACGTGAGGGACGGTAACACTAGCATGTGATTGTTACAATGTATGGGTGGTGGGTAAGTTGCGAATAAGAAAAAAAATATCTTGAAAATAACCAGTTTTGAAGTGTAATAGGCGTAATAACTGCAAAACTACTTCCTCTATATTATATAGGTACCACCGGTGTGTTGTGTCATCGATGTCTCGGCCGCAGACGACAAAAAAAATGTGGAACTATAATATAATATTAGGTATGATATTATATTGTGGGTACTCTCGCTAAGTGAATCATCTTGGCGATCACGTAACATCTAAGATTCGATATTAGCTATATTATTATACGCGAACTTACTCCTAAAGTATTTACTCGATGCAGACGAGTTACGTAAATACGTAATACAACGCATGTGACTTACTCAGCGAATAAATTATTATGAATAGTAAAAATATTATTGTGGTTTTTAAATATCGTGTATTTGATAGCTGTTGTTGTGCATAGTATTTGTGTGCTATAAAGATAATTATATATGTGTATTGGTGCCCTATACTTGATATTTTCAATATTCATGTAAAAAACCAATATGTCATAGGATGTGTTTTTGCAAATCTGTTTTTTTTTTTTGTTATGGTAATAGTCGTATAAACTATAAAGTAGTATATTATTCATCGATTGTTAGAGACAATCTATAGGTACTGGGCTAACTCGAAATTATGAAGTTTTAACGAAAAATTCATCACGATTACGAAAAAAAGTTGTAAATCCAGCCCAAAAACATCTGTTATAAATGTATGAATATTTTTTTTTACACATTTGTATTAGTTATATTTTTATACTATTAACACATGTTGTAAAATAAAATTTTAGATTCTGAGCTAAGGAATGAATGTATACTACAATTTAATTCACGTTGAGCTTTTTATATAAGCATGTGAAATTATCGATCGTTATTTTTTTGTTTTAATTAATATCTAAATTCTAAATAAAAAATTTTCGCTTTAAAATGTAATACAAGATTTCTCGTAATTTAAAGTTAGTGGAAATTAAAAAAAAAGTTGAGAGTAAATCCACAATAATTTGTATAAGTGTCTAAATTTGAAATTTCTTAAAATACGTAAAAATCAAGAAAATTTGAAAATCATTTTGAGTTAGAAACTCATACAATTTTTTTATCTAAATCTAAAATTTGAAACTTTCATACAAAATTCATCAAAGGCTAATCTGCCTTTATCAAAAAAATAAATGTCAATTAAAAAGTCAAATTAAATTTATATGAGTATTTGAAGTTGAAATTGTTCAAATGTTTAGTTTATTATTTTCTGGGAAGTTAAATTTGACTAATTCAACTAATAAACCATGACGACAATAACTGGGATTTACATAATTATATGTCTTAAAAGTTAAAACTAGTTAAAAGTGAATAAATGATTTCGATGGACGATGATTTAGTAGGCAGGAGTGAAATCATTTAAAAGAACTTTATGTAATATAAGCTATAGCTATAGTAGTTTGACAGTTGGTCTCGTGTGATTCAATTAGAAAATATATAGTATGAATATTGTACCAATATACATACTTGTCCAAATATCTAATTATTAAGTGACATCTGAAGTTAAATTGTTAATTACAGACAAGGTACAGTATCTGAAACAATCTTTATGGATTAATTTCTTCTTTAAATTATTAACTATAATATGAAAATATAATATATATGTGTATCATCACCAAACTTTCAAACACTAGACTGTACGCGGTACAACACAAAATCAAATCAAATTCATGAATAAAATAATAGTAAAAATATGTTCTATTATTCTACATTTTTTTCCTTACTTTTTTTTCTATTCTTTCTACGTGCAGATTTAATTCCATAGCTTAGTGACTCACACTTATCCTGTGTCAGTATGATTTCGATTATGCGAATGTGGAATGAGAGAAGCTGATGAATGACAAATATAAAAAAAAGTGTAAAAACTGGTCTCTGGACTCTGACCCCTACATAATATACCAATTATAATTCATCATTTTCATTTTTATGTTATTAGTGAATAATATTATTACGTATTATCATGTAGGCATATATTTTGTTTAATTATAATCCAAAACACACGAGTTTTCTATACCATTACATAATCTAAGAGATGGTGATGAAATATGCCTATTATAGTTATTAATTTATAACTTTATAAGTCATAAAATCTCTTGATATATATATAGGTAATACAATAATAACGCATACAGTACCTATAATGCCTATTATATATACATAAATACATAAACACATAAACACATAAAAAAACAGTATTGTTATGATATTTATCATTATCACGTAAAATAAACATTATTTATCTTATAAATATATATGTATTTGATTAGGTGTTTATATTTCATATCATTTCAAAAATCTGCGAAGATCGTGAGTTTTGTAGACAAACTTAATGTTATATAATAAATTGTTTACGCTTTGCTACTCGTTTTAATATATATATTTATTTTAACCTGGACTGTTTCGATCAGATATGCCTAACTGATACCAATCTCATCTCTACACCAACATTAATAAACACATTACCTATGACCTCTGATTATCCTAACATGAAAAATATCTATAATATAGTATATAGTCTTTGGAGGTTTGAAGCATACAATATAGAAATTGGCAATTCATTATACAAGAAATGTATGTATACGTTTAAAGTTATACAATAGTAAACGTAAGTATACTTGTAAGTTACCAATGGAAACTGTTAATCAGAAATATTTTTAAGAACATCCAGTAGTCAGATTTAAATATTGTGAAAACATTTGTATTCATTTACATTTGTATATAAGTCATGTAGGAAGAATGTTTAAAGTCATACAACTTAAAAGGTAAATGTGGGTTACCACATAAAAATAATGAAATCAGAAAAATATTTTAATTATTTCGTAGTCAAAAATCTTAATTTTTTACACCTAAGGCTTAAAAATTTAATACTTACAATGTAAATTTAAAAAAAAAGGTGGACAAGTAAGTATACCGCTCTGGTATATAGTATAGTTATGTTGAGTATGTCATAGTAATGGGTGTGTTAGATTTGAATTTGTAATGATAAATTACTGCATACGAAAAATGATTCTGAGAGGAGACTCGTGTAGTCGTGTTCCATCCCATCATACTTGTATAAATAATCAAATTAAAAAATAAATTAATAAAAATCGAAAATCGAAAATATCTCATGAGTTAAGACTATAAATATCGTATTTTACCAAAACCTTATGTTGTGTTAAAAGTAGATACATTTTTGAGAAATTGTTTATTGGAGTTTTTAATGTTAGCTATGAAAAGAACATTTTTTATGTATTTCTAATTGAAATATAATTTGTACATTTCTAGGATTTTGATGAATTTTGTCAAAATTTGTACTTTAAATGCATACAAAAAATAATACTACTATGTGTCTTTAATATGGTACTGGTCTACTTCATACCCTCGCCAATCAGGTTTAGTTGACGCCTGCCGCTTATATCTCTCTTGTTTTCGATGTTCTAATCAATAGTCAATAATTTATAAGAGAATAAAATAAATGTACACTTCTTTTTTTCTTTATTTGGAATAAACAATCTATACCTTAGGTGCACAATAGACTTATATGTGGTTGGAGTATACATTATACTATAGTTTTAATAATCACTTACACAATAATTCAATTATATTAACAGGTTATACTTGATGATTTCTAAGTCATCCACCATCCACTAATGACATTCACTAATTAACATTTTTTTTAATTATACATTTAAACTAAAATTTCGGATGGTCAAAATAAAAATAGATAAATCATAAATGAATAAATAAATCTTAAAAATATTGTACAAAAAAATACATTATTTATAAATTATGCAGATGACCAACATTCTGCTTTGCCCTTCGGCATTGCATTAAATAGATCGCGGCCGTTTAATTTACTTCGCCACATATATTCTGCTAAATATGAAATACGAATTTAGGAAGTTTATCTTAGTTCTTCTTCGTTTCTTGTTGCCCCATTTATCACATCCTCACAACATTCTGCGTATGAGGCTATGAGCTCCATTAATAGGACCCACAAAGTTATATTTGCGGCTTACTGTTGAGTGAATTATAAAGGACAGTTTGTTAAATATTATTTTAGCCTCACCAAGAATCAGATTTAATGGGCTATATAATTCATCTCGTATATACGTTCACAAACTATTGGCAATAACGTATTTTCCTACCGATCAGAAAATAATTCGACACGCAACGAAGCCGAAAGCACTCATTATTGCTCTCGCGACATAATATGCCACCAAAATACTCATTGCTGCGGCAATATTCAACCCGTATTATTTTTACGTCTGTCAAACAAACTCGTATCGATTTCAACAATGTAACTAGCACCTCCTATATTTGAATACCCACTGATTTACCTATCTCATATCATAAATTTAATTAATTTTACCAAATTTTATTCTTGAAATATCTATTTGGTGAATTTCACACGAATACCTAACGCACCTATTTAATTTTGTACCTTTTTTGTCTGCGGTACATTCTATAATAAACGATTAGAAGAACATCGAAAATACGAGAGATGTATAAGTGGCGGGCGCTAACTAAACCTGAGTGGTGGTTGAATACATCTTGGCGGCGGTCAACTAGACCAGTATCTACCAAATTTTTTCAACGACAAAAATGTTAAAAAAAATTACAAATTTGTGGATCACACATAAATTTAGTTTTGGCTCACGAAAATCGAATTTTTATTTATTTATTTCATTGTTTGCAATTGGTTTCATTTACATATTATACTACTATTATTTATATAATTTTCAGAAATAAATGTCATATTACAATTTTTACAAATAAAGTTCAAAAAAAAATTCATTTTTTTTAGGAGCGATGATAATAGGTTCAAACGTTTAAAAAATTCTTCACGAAAGTTTGCAAGTTACTTAGAAATTAAAACTACGAGAAAATAGTTTTTGGCAAAAATTATTTCACTCTATATACGGAGCGTATCATTGTTCATTAGTTAGAAAATAAACTACAAATAGACCGC